TCAAGCCATACAGGACCAGAAGAGTTCAACTAAAACCAGGCGATTTTGAACGCAGCATGGTGTTTTTGCCAGTGGTTCCTGGAAAATTGTAACCAAGTGCGTGATTTTTCCTTAATTTTTTTTTGGACAGGCAAAGCTTGTGTGAGCAGTGCCAGCAGATTCAACCGCTACAATTCTTATACTTGGGCACAACAAAATCCTCATTCTATTGTGGAGCATAGAAGTCAAGGAAGATTTGGATTTAATAGTTGGACAAATTTTTTCAGGGGTAGAATTATCGGCCCGTTCATTTATAATGGCACTCTCACATTTAGAAATATATTTAGAAATTTTAAGGCAAAATATTGAACCCATTGTTGATGAATTGCCACTAATAGAGCTCCGAAAAATATATTTTCAACAAGACGAAACTTCTCCTCAAAACACTGCAATTGTCAACAATTTTTTGGCTGCAAATGTTGGTAATAATTGTATAGCCAACCAAGGATCCAACCGTTGGCCGGCCAGATCACCGGACCTAAAGCCTATGGACTTTTACCTCTGGGGAAGGTTGAAAGATCTTATTTTTGAATTGCCGACCAATTCTAAGTACAAATTGGAAGTGGCAGGGATGCAAAGTTTAGCTTCTCTCACTCCTATTGAACTGATTGATTCGAAAAAAAAAACATTAAGAAAAGGTGTCGCCTGTGTGTAGGAGAAGCTGGTAGACATTTCAAACACCTCTGAAAAAATATATTTCATTGTTTGTTCTTTATCATTATTATTATTTATTTGTGATGCACTATTTGTAATGTTTGGTGTAGTAATGAATATTACAGGAGTTTTATCCCAACACCAAACCGTTATTTTTAACACCTCCACACGTGTTTTGATCACCAAGTTGATCATCTTCAAAAGGATGTTTAATGTTCCTCATGAAGATGATCACATGGTGATCGAAACACGTGCCGAGGTGGTGTTTGGTGGTTTGGTGTACGGATAAAACTTCAGTAAAATTCATTATTATTATTGTTGAAGTTTAATTTATTAGTAGTAAATATAATATAAATCGTTATCAGTTCTATCGAAACTATGCGTTTTAATTACTGCTGTGAAAAGCTCTCTAAACATTTGATAGCTACTACTGAACAATTTCTTTCTGTTTTATCGCCGCGTCGTCCAAAGCCTACTTGATCAAAATGTTCGTTCTACATGAAAAAACCTAAAAGCTCTGTGTCTCAAAAATGACTGTTGCAAAACATCAAGTGTACTGAATGTTTGGAAAGGTAATTTTAAGCCAATTAAAATATGCAGGAATATACAGGGTTTCTCATTGAAAAAATAATTTTCCATCAATAACCATTGATATCTGATTTGAAAAAATAAGTTTTTTACACCATTGAATTCTACGTAAAAAGTGCGTTGGAAATGTTTTCATAGAAATAAGAAATTTTTTACAGAAAAAAGTTACAGCAACTTTTCGAAAATGCACAATTTCAAAAAACATGCTGTAACTCAGGAATGATGATAGATATCGATATGCGGTTTTTACCATTACCACAGCCACAGATAGATGAAAACTATCTAATTTGAAAACAGCAGTTTTCCTTCAAAAGTGTCAATTTGGCCCACTCTGTACAACCCTAAAAAAATGAAAAATGTAGAACAATTTATATTAACCATTGAATGAACAAAACTGTCAGGACACTATTTCTGTCTAATACTTTCCAGTACTCAATTTTACCTTTCGAGAAGGGTTTACAGCACAAACTCAATGGACAGTTTGTACAGCATCTCAAAAAACAGGAGCCATGATGACTTGGGTTCGTAGTGCAAAATGTTCGATCTTTCAGTTGAAACTCATGAATAGGATTTACATTAGGAACAGATCTGAAACTTTGCCTCAATCGCAGAATGGATTCATATAAACACCATAACTGAGTATTCGGTTTTATTTTCCAGGTTGGTCGTGAATGTCCATCGTCTTTTCATCTAGGAAGTATCTACTCTTTCAGAAATTTCCTTAGTTACCAAGAAGAACGAAATAATTATAAGTAAATAAAGTACAGCCCATCAAACTTAGAGTGTACACCTGACAAATGATAATTTTTACAATAATGGTGACATGTTGATAACGCCCTCATTTTTGAGATGTCACAAGGAGTATCGATGTAGGATTGAGATGAAACTTGAAATTTAATTTGACATCCCCAAATTATATATCGTACAGTAGTGATTGAAAAAATAATAAAATAGTGAGAAGAAAATTCATCATGCTACATTTTTCTGGATAGTCCGGTCAAATTAGACTAAAAAATAAGAGTGAAGGTACATACATTTACAACAAGCTGCAAATGTGTGAAATTGTTCAAAACATAGTTAAAAATAAGATTTTAAAATTTCGAATGATTTCGATGCCTGGAAAAAAAATTATTCGAGGTCAAAGGTCAAAAATCTCGAAAAAAATGGGTTTTTCGAGATTTTCAGGAAAACGGTAAGTTTTATCATAAAATAACCTGAGATTATATTGTAGATCATAAAATTCTCTACAAAAAATGTATCAATACTTTTTTAGAGCCACCGTTTCTGAGATACGACGAGTCAAAAAGTTGTAAAAGTTGTAATCGTCATTATATGCATAAGTATGCCACGTATATACATCTCTGAAGTTGTAATTCAAGTAAAAATATTTTTCTATTTTAGCGATAAGTAGTACTATAAAAGTTCACGAAGAAAAAGTACCTGTTGACCCTGTATTATTGTTCCAGCGCATGAGTATTACTGCAACATTTCAAGATGAAATTGAGAAATATTTTGAATATGAATTGGCTCCCTACCCTTTATCGTTGTTTGATGACCTCGGGATGCGTCAAACACAGAAGTCTGCCATTTACGATCGTTTCCAACAGGTCAATATTGAAATTAACAATACTAATACGACATACATCATTGACGGTGGATACTTACTACATCGTGTTGTGTGGAATGGTGAAGAAACATTTAGCATTATTTTAGATAATTACGTTTTGTATGTACGTAGACATTTTGGTGCCAGAATTACGGTCGTATTTGATGGCTATGATGATTGCACGAGAAATATTAAAGCTGCAGAACAACGTCGTCGAACTTTAGCAACATCTTCATTTTCAGATATTCTATTTGATGAACTTATGACAGTTCCTACCAGTCAACAGAAATTTATTGCAAATACTCAAAACAAATATCGGTTCATTTCAATGTTGAAGGATGAGTTTATTGGCGAAAATATATTGGTTAAACAGGCTAATAACGATGCCGATGTACTGATCATTGAAACAGCTATAGAACAATTTAATTTGACAAATACAACTATTGTTATTGGTGAAGATGTAGACTTACTCGTACTTCTTACTGCTCGAACTCAACCTGAAAAAACTATTTTCTTTCTAAAGCCAGGAAAAGCTCAAAGTCAAACAGAAATATATTCGTCAAAAAGTTTATCTACTTTTGCAAAGAGTCAAAATCATGTACTATTTTTACACGCAATAACTGGCTGTGATACGACGTCTGCATTTTACAGGAGGGGTATAAACAACAGTTTTTGAAACGTTTGAAAAACAAGATTTAGTTCAATGTGCTGAAGTTTTCAAAAAAAGTAATTCGACTCAACAAGAAATTATCACCAACGGGATTCAGTTTCTTCTTTCTATGTACAAAGCTCCGAAAAAAGCCACCTGCTTAGATAAGTATCGATATGCATGTTTCGTAAAAAACACTAAAAATAAGAAACAGGTGCCATTAGCTTGTCTTCCTCCAACCTCAGTTGCTGCTCATCAACATCTTTTCCGGGTATATTACCAAGTTCAAGTGTGGCTTGGTTATCAGCTAGACCCAAAAGACTAGGTTGGAAGTTGGTCGACAATACATTAGAACCTATTCAGACTTTACTCCCACCTGCGCCGGAAAAACACCTGCGCTGAACACAATTTTTTGCAACTGTAAAAATGGATGCAGCGCTAAATGTGGTTGTAAAAAAGTTGGACTGTTGTGTTCTCTGGCATGTACACATTGTCAAGGCCAGTCATGTTCAAATGTTGAATCACCAATAGTGGAGGATTCATGATACCAACGAAGAAACATGGCGATACATCACCCTTGACGCAGTTTACCTACACCCAAGATGAACATCAAGAAGAAGAAGATCAAGAAGAAGAAGACCAAGAAGAAGAAGAAGACCAAGAAGAAGAAGAAGACCAAGAAGAAGAAGAAGACCAAGAAGAAGAAGAAGACCAAGAAGAAGAAGAAGACCAAGAAGAAGAACGACAAGAAGAAGTATTTGAAGGTTATGACTCAGATGAATAAATTTTTACATTTTTTTAATTTCAGTCGCTTTTATAATTTCCAACCCTTCCTAATATATTTTATTATGCAAGTTTTCAATTTGACAGAATCACAATAGACAAATATGTGGAATAGGCCTACTGGGGAAACACGTTAAAAAACGCGCTAAGTACACTACCTCATAGGTGGCGTGGAAACGTGTGCATATATGACGATTACAACTTTTTGACTCGTGTATCTCAGAAACGGTGTCTCTAAGAAAAAAAAATGATACATTTTTTGTAGAGAATTTTATGATTTACAATTTTTATCTGAATTCATTTTATGATAAAACTTACCGTTTTCCTGAAAATCGCGAAAAACCAATTTTTTTCGAGATTTTTGACCTTTGACCTCCAATAAATTTTTTTTCCAGGCATCGCAATCATTCAGAATTTTAAAATTTCATTTTTAACTATGTTTTGAACAAACAGGCGTTTGAAGCTTGTTGTCAATGTCTGATTGACCGGATTATGGAAGTTGTTCATTATATAAAAACTGAACTAGAATTCAATTTGAAGTATTTTTTAGAGACTATAATACATATAAAAAACCTCAGTAAACTTCATGCATTTTTGAACATTTACTGAAAACTTGAAAATGAGGTAGTCTTTCTTGTCTTGAAATACTTTAAGATTGATGCTAACTTGCGAATAACTTACTTGCAATCCATTAACTATTGACTGAAAACCTGAACCACACAACTTGTTCACCATATAAGCTGGTTTTTCAAGAGGTATTCCACATTTCAGTGCAACATGTCTAGGAAGGAAAATTCCATCTGGAGCTGAGATCTGAAAAAACGGTAGAAAGTATTGTACCCTTCATCTACTGAGGATATTTATTAGTCATACAATATTACAGAATTTGGAACTTTCGAAAAATTTCCAAATTATTCAAAACTGTTGTTTACAATCAAATTATAACTATTTAGTTGGATATAACATTATCTCCACATCAGCATGGGTTTCGAAAATATTTTATGTATACCGATGAAATGGTATACCTATGTATAAAAACCTAAATTAGAACTATTACGTCTCCAGAGCATTTTCCCGTCTCGATTTTCGATACTACAGCCAAATTACCACTCGGGTATCTTAACATTCTTCCACCAAAATTGATTATATCTGCTCAAACTTTAATAACGAATACCTTGAATGTACACTGATTCCTGCAGGCCTTTCCGATCACGAGGCAATTTTCACTACCTTTCTCATAAGTGGAGATAAACTTAAAAAGAGGAATAGATTTGGCAGAATCTTTAGTAAACAGAATTTTGCAAAATTCAGAGAACTTGCCTAATCAATAAATTGGAGAGAATGTTTGTATTCCTCTGAACCCATTAATACTCTTCCAAAACAGCTTTCCCGTCATGACATTAAGGGAAAACAGAAAAAAGCCATGGATGTCTCTAGGAATGAAAACATCAGATCACTGAAATTTATTAAAAAACACACAAACAGTGAACTCATATTGAATTTTATTAACAAATATAAAGGTATCTACACACTTGTGATTAAGGCTGCAAAAGAGAAATACTATAAAAATTGGATAGACAATGCAAAAAATAAAATGAAGGAAAATTGGTTAATAATTAATAATCTGAGAGGGAAGAATTCAAAGCTCCCCACCCATATGAATATACAGTGTCACCGATAAAGTCCGCATCAAATGGGAAACTTTTTTATTTATCGTTTTATGTGAAATTTGATTTTGGCAGTAGATTTTGCTTAAGAAATGATGTCAAATGGCGTCTACAAAATAGGTCACGTGATTTCCTTAACCTGTCAAAATTGACATTTAAAAAAAGAAACATCGAAAAATGACATTATTCTTCAAAATATCCAAAAATATCAAAGGAT